TTCAAGCCGCTGATCATCAGGAGGAGCAATAGACAGAGAAATAACACCATTGTATTAGTGCTAATGAAACCTCAATGGCAGATGTTAGGGCATGGCCAATATGCAAGGCTCCAGTCACATTTGGAGGAGGGAGAACCTGCAGAATTAGTTATAGGATTAAATGAAACCCTTAAAAATTCAGACTTTTATTTAATCATTTCAAATGCTCAAGATTTTCTCAGCTGAATTACATTGGACGATTTAAGTATTGGAAAAGACAATTAAAAAAAGGTCTAACTAATCCAGAATGAACGTGAATTGAAGAATAAATTCTTACAATAACAAAGGGTTGCTTGGAACTCTTAGCATCCGCCTTAAAAAGGTCAGTTTTCTCCCACCAAGCATACCATCTAACCAAATCACAGAACAACACAGAGGTTACGAAGAGAAATATTTACAGGATGAATGAACACCACGCCTCAAATCTCTACATAGACTTACGATTTCTCAACAGCAGCAGGACTGTATTGTTTAGCCATCTGAGATGAGAGCCTTTTCTTCTCACCAAGAGGAGTTTCAGGGTCCACAAAATCCGCAGGATTCTCATCTGATGCGTCTCGTTTGGAACTCTTCTTTGCGCTCTTTTTCGGAGCACTAGTTCCATCTTTCGCCTGTTGTGCCTACACCATGATTAAAAAAAAACTAAGGATGTAGCTTTCACCCGAGACTCATAACTAGAGTTCGTCAGAAAACTACCTTCAGTTCAGCAAGCTTCGCTTTTTCCAAAGCTTTTAACTTCTTCAACTCCTTTTCTTTAGCCTATAAAGTGTCGTTTAAAAAAACACTGTCAAAGTAAAGTGTTGTATTCAAAGATATAGAATACCGAAAGAAACATAAGCAATGAATATAAACATTATTATATTCCTATCTTAAGAATACAACACAATGGATCTATCTATGTTCTCATCAAAAACCATTTTTCAAAATAAACAAAGCCATAGTTGTCCCTGTGAGAAAGAACATTGCATCACTATCCAATCTATCTTAAGGATTCCAGTGAACATCAAACTCAACCACATTCTTTAATCACATTCTCGTAATCAATCTCTACGGGAGTCTTATAACCACGATGATTCTAACTTTTAAGAGGATTGGGAAAAAAGTCAAACCTTATCATCTTTCTTCTTCTTGCGCTCAAGCTCCTCTTCTGTTAGGATCTTCTTCTCAGCTTCGGACTGCGGAACAAACAAATTGGATTTTCAGAACACAATTCGAAAATGAGGCGATAAAACTAATCAGTACTACCATTACTGCAGAACGGTGAAAGGAGCGACGTAGTAGATTGGTAGGCGACGGAGAGAAGAGGAAAGTGGAGTGATAACGAGAAGGAGAGATTATAAGTAACGGCTTGGCTCTCCTGAGGAAGATCAGTGACATACAGAGATTTGCTTCCCTAGGGCTTATTGAAATTCCTTTTTTTATTATTGTTAGACGCTTACAAAAAAAAAAAAAAAAAATTGGATTGAGATTTGGGTTTTTAAGACGAAATGGGCTTTAACGTTTGCAGCCCAGTGGGCTATAAGATTACAAGTGTCTTTTTCTCAATCGGAACGGCTAGTTAAAAAAAAAAAGGAAATATCGAGTCTCCTTGTTATAAAAAAAAAAGGGATAGTCCTTGACGTATCATAATGCAAGAAAAACCTTTGTTGAAAATCTACCCCCACCAAAAAAGTTTATGATTAAACAAGAGGATTAGTATATAATCAATCTCAGGATTCTACAACAGATTTTGAAAATAAACTCGGACCCATACAAAACAAATGATGTTTATATCATGGATCAATCATATCGTTTGAATTTATATATTAGATATTGAATATCACTTTGGTAGTATTTTCGGTGCTTTGCTCGCGGTTTTACAAAACTTAACTATTTCTGAAATCATACACTTAAGTAGACGAGTGCAAATGGTTGAATAAAGTGAGTTTTGTTGCGAGTAGGGCATGTTTTGTATTGTGTCATAGACTTTGATACAAACAAACAAACAAAAAAAATACTACGAGATTGTCACCCAAATTTTAATTGGTATAGCCTTACCTAAACGAAACATGGGAAATTTAAATCGTATGTTTAACATAAAAACACAATCTCTGTTTTATGGATCACTCTCAAGAAAACCAAGTAAATCGCAATCATCAGATTAACTTAACTAATTAGGAGTATATGTTGGAGTTGAGTTATCGTAATTTGTAGAATGTCTCAGACCTCAATGTGCGTTGGTTGGACCATTCAAAGTCGAATTTAAAGAAGTGGCCCCAACATATGATACGATTGCAATCTTTCTAATTTTCATAATGGGCCCCGCCGGCATGCATACCTTCGGACCCACTGAAATTCCTATGCCGGCTATATATGCATTGCAACCGAGACAAAAGACAAATATTTTTCCTTTCTTGCGGTATTAGATATTAAATCCGTTTCATATCAAGTGTTATTTTAGAAGAAAAAATCTCATTACAAGTTAAGTGTTGTTTTCGGTTTTTAGTACAAAATTTATTAATTTTATTCTATAATTTATTTTTCTATTGGTTGAAATAAAATTAGGTATATAGGTAATTGTGTTTTTATATGTAAAATATGTAAAAAATTAATGTTTCCTTAATTCGTATGTTAAAATATAAAATAACACTTATTATGAAACAGGGAGACTATTGTATTTAACCTAGGGGTAGAATAAAATTGTGTAGTAATTTTTGCTGTTGTTACCAACCGTGAACTGTGAAGTAACCCATACGGCCATATAATTGACAAAAAAGAAAGAAGTAACCCATGTAAAAGATTTAGACTGATAAATTCTAAATTTCTAAGTAATTGTCCCCTTTCTAGTTTAATTGTTCGTAGTGCGTGGCTACAGCTATTACACAAATCATATAATCGAATGAAAAAGTTAAACTTCGACAATCCAATTATCTCTAACATTGTCATCGAGTCTTGAATAGAGTTAGTAATTAGTATGCTTCGGGCTATTATTCTCCTCATATAAAAATATATGACATAAAAGAAAAAGATGAGGAAGTTAACAAAAATATTGAAATAAAGGTATGTAATGATGGAGTAAACGTGATAGGTATGACATGACCCCACGATGTGAAGAAAATGATTTTTTATTTTTTTAACATATAGAAAAAGTACCTAATAATAGAAGAACAGGTTGTTCCCCAAATCTGAAAGCAAGAATTATTTTGAAGAATAGACATACCAAGTTAAAGCTGCAAATTTGAAATTCTATCATGTGTATATTTTTGGGGTCAACAACTCAGCATGCATGATCTTGATAAATCATATTTCTTTACTTCATCACTTAGATACATCTATATACTAATGCCTTGTCATTGTATTTACAAATTAGATTGTTTCTTTAGAATGAACATTTTCCATACCGGAGTTGAAATTTTCTATCAGTCTTTCCAAATTTAAAGTGAAGTTCAAAGCCAATATTTGTTAAGATAGATAAGATTTCCAACCTAAAAACAACTAATAATAAATGGATTATCTTATTTATCTTATATATTACTAATGATCTTTTTCAACTAGTGATGTTGAAGGCATAGTCTCTAATAATATTTACATTTAGAGATAAGTAGCTTTCGCATTCTGAATCATCCATCATAAATATTATTGATGATGTATAAACAGAAACTTTTTTTTTGGATCAAAGTATAAACAGAAACTAAAATAGCTTCTCATTGTTTTGTTTATCGTATAATAATCTAGTACGTAACAGGACTAAAAATCAAGTTATAGATTAACGCTCTCTCTCTTCCATGAGTAACATGCACGAGCAGCAATAGAACATAGACATCATGATGATAGTATTATCCACTTTAGCCATTATTCAGTCCCCCATTTACCTAACCCCACTCAAATTTCAAAACGTTAATGTCCATCGTTTTCCATTTTTGTTTTATACATTGGTCAATGTCGATTATTTATCGTTGACATATAGTTCGTCTTTGTACACTATGTAATCATATATATCATAGTTTTGATTGTTCCAAGCAATTTAACATAAGAAACAAAGCTTTTCTTGATCGAAAAATAAAGAAACAAAGCTTTTACAACATGGTAATTTTTTTTTTTGTAAAATTACAACATGGTAATTCCTGAAAAACATCTATACATATATAAGTGTTACCATTATGTCAATTTAATCCGACTTAGATGCGTTAACGTATTGTAAGGAAAGGTAAATACATACAACCACGTTATTCATATTCACTCTATGTAAGCATACTTTTGGACCAAAGTGATCATCAGTCTCTACAAATTATACACCTGTACATATCTAAAACCACACTTACGTGTCTAACTGTTTTCAGCATGCATATATGATATCCGTACTTCTGAAATATTTTGTTTTGTAGTCCATGTGATGATTTATATTATTCGATTTTATAACAGTAAATAATACTGAAGAACACACATATATATAACACTGCTAAGTGATAAGCACGTAACACAATCATTACTATTATTACCCCACGACTATAAACTGTGGGATTTTGAATTAAATTACAAAAATAACATTGTAGACTAAGTGAACTAGACTTCATTTTGAATGCGTTTTTTCTTGTTGATTTTTGATGATTGTAGATTTCTGAAAACAATGCGGTTAATGAGAGTATAATCAAAATGATAATTTGTTCGATCCCACGAATAAACAATAACATTCTACTTATTTTGGCGTTTGTAAAAAAAAGAAATCTACTTATTTTGGCTGATATATAATTCTTCTTGACACCACACCATCAGAACATTATTGTTCTTTGTCTTTTCTTTAGAGTTGACCGTGTTGAGTACTAAATTTGATATCTTCTAAATTTCTTCAGTGCTTTCACTTTTTTTTCTCTCTTTTTCCACCACGTCGTTTTATTCATTTTCTTTAATTTTCACCTTTTTATTCACAACCCACCAAGATAAATAGGCAGCCACATGATATCCCCTTAATTCAACACACTCACAATCAATCAACAATATTTCAGAAAAAAAAAAGACAATGAGTGAGCTTTTCTACTCTCTCCCAACTTGGGATCTCCATAACCTTGGATCATTCTTCAACCAAAACTTCAGTTTAGGTATATACAAACACACAAATATATAGATGTACACATATATACATGCATTTTTATAGACATGATTTATGCTGAGTTTTGTTGACATATAAACGAGGATGGCTTCATGCAGACGATAATGCATTCTTCTGTTGAAATGTGAATATATTTGTACTTAGTAATTCAAGGGATCCATACAATGTTCTTGTAGATTCATGTGGCCACATTGATGAATCGCCCGAGAATATATTACATTCGCCGGAGGAGGATATCATCGGCGACGTTTCCACTGGCTACCTCGAAGACGCACTCATCGAGTTCAGTGGGAAAAGCAAACGGAGACGTCTTTCGTTCAACGCTGAGGACAAACCAAATAACCACTTTGACAATCATCAGGTTTACATAATTACTCTGTTTTTCGTTAGTTAATTTACATAATTGTTCAATAATTTTCTTAAACGTTCATTTGGATTATAATTGTGCAGAATAATTGGGGCATGTCTGAGACTTATAGTTGCACGAGTAGTCAGTTTGCAGGTGAGACACTGATATCTACTTTTTATTATTGTCACCCATATAATATATAAATATATTTATGCATTTATTTACATTTAATATTTATTTATTTATTGTTGCTAAAACTACTATACTAGTGGTCTTCCTAATAATCTCTAAGAATGAATTTTCTTTATATTGAGCAGACGAATCTCCAAATTCATCCGTCAATATTTGTTCAGAGGCTTTAAATCATTCAAAACATTCTTTCGAGCCATCTACGTCCACTTCAAGTACGTATGTTTCATTTCCTAATGAAGTGAATGTAACATATGTGAACAGATTGTTTTCTCGTTTGCGTTAATTATGTTTACATATATACTAAATTAAGACATGATTGTTATAGAGAAAAATCACTGTGACAAGAAGAAAAGAGTGGTGTATCCATTTGGATTGGTGAAACCAGGTGGTCGAGAAGAAGATGTAACCCTAAATGACATAAATAAGAGGATTCTCATGCCGTCGGCTCGGCCAGTTCGGCATCCCGTTGGAGCATTTGCCTGCCGCCCGTGTCTCTCTGCTAATGGACCGGGTCTCTCAGGCAAAGCCGTGGTTGCTTTCACCAAGATATACACGTTAGGGAAGGGTACAATTACCATAATAAGAACTAAGGGGTGAGATATGTAATTAGACTGGGTCGTTATAATATATAGTGCGTACTCGAGATGACGAGGCAAGAATAAAAGACATGTTAAACGTTGTCTATCTAATGAAAATATGTTTTAATAACGTATATTATGAATTTCTTTTTCAGTATTTGTTTATTTTTGAATTATTGTAGATTATAGTATAAAGAATCAAGAATCATTTAGAAACTTATTTTTTCAGTATTTGTTTATTTTTGAATTATTGTAGATTATAGTATAAAGAATCATGAATCATTTAGAAACTTATTTAACCAAAATTTTGAATCACAAAATTATAATTTTGGTTTATTATGTTCGTGATTTTTGTTCTTTACTATTTTTCCTCGTAGCAACCCCTTTGTTACTAAAGAAGACATTCATTAGAGACTATCAAATAAAATAAACGAAGCGTGAAGAATAAAGAGAAAGCAAAAAGGACGAACGTGCTGAAAAGCAAGTAAACAACAAACAAAAAGAGAGAGAGAAAATGTACCTTACACCATCAATTTTCTTCGAAGGTTGTAACAAACAAATTTTACATTCTTTTTTTTAAAATTTTTTTTTTTACATTCTTGCCATGTTCAAAATACTTTACTTATTTTACCATATAATAAATACAGCATAGACATAGTAAATTTTGAGTTGAAAGAAAAGTTATAAACAACAAATTTTATAAAACACGAGATTGATACAGTGGATCAGTTTGTTTAAGGAAATTTGAATTTGAATTACCCTTTTATTGCAGATATTGTTTAAGAAAATACAATAATTTGTTAAAATGAAACTAAATCCAACCTTGTAACTATTTTATGATATCAATGTCGTCATGGGCCCAATACGTTGTAGGCCCAGATCGATTTCCCCACAGTCAGATACATAACGTCATGTTTATGTAATGTGACGTTTGTCGGCATGAGTTATAAATCGGCAAAAAGAAAAGTTGCTCTGCTGTCTCTTTTTCTCTCCCTCTCTAGCACTCCTAAGTCGTAACAGCAAGTGTTTCGCATGTGCGAAATAACCACATCTTCAGGTGGTAAATGACGTGGATTAGTTAATAAATTATAGATTAATGCTTTATGTGTTAGAATAGCCGAAATAAATGGAACATTAGTTGCAAATTTACTGGTCATCAACCATTGTTTTTCTCTATACAAAGGACGAACCTAGCTTTTGACCCTTTAGGTTGGTTGGGTCCATTTAGGCAGACCACTAGGGCTAAAACTAACAATGATGAAAAAACAATAGTATTTTGAATGATTCATCTTTTCTCAAATCTTTGTAATAAAAAAGTTTACAGTGTAAATCATCATCAGGGCAATTTGAAAAACTTGGTAAGATTAACTAATTTTAAATGAACAAACGAATTCCAAAATGAAACATGTGAAATGTAACTAGTAATATGTATTCAGAACCCGCTTAATGTGAGAATGTTCACCCTGAACACAGAATATTGGAGTTTGTATATACATTTTAAATCTTGTTAATCATGATCTAATTAAACACATTTTTGAGTTAACATTTTGTTAAGGCCTGGTTAAACATTGAGTGAGGAAATTTGTTATGATATCTATAGTTTTTGTGTTGGATAGGTTTAGAGTTTAAACCATAGAGCTATGCTTCCAACGTCGTTTGTTTGATCAAATATGTTTTCGATTAGGCTTTGTGTATTTTCTGTTTAATTCCCTTTGCCTAGGTTCTTAAATGGGCCTTACCAGTTACAGTGGATCAAAATTTATAGCCCAATCTGATAACGGTTTCGCTCAGAAAAGGGCTCGCATTAATTACCGACAGTGCTCGGCGGAGCTGCCTCACCAGCTGAGCAGCTCAGATCTCTTTCTTTCTGAGCAGCTCAGATCCGTATCATATCAACTATCTATGGAAGTTTTAGACTGAAGAGGAAAGATTGGACTTATGTTTGTTTTGGACTTGCAGCTAGTTCTGAGGCAACGTTCTTGCTCTGTAATCTTTAGAACTCTTTACTGTGATATTTTGGTTTCTCTACTCTATAGATACACGATATGCGGATGGTGCTTTGCCTTTTCTCTCTACGGGGGCTCATCATTGTCGTAGGTACAACCTTGTAGGCTTTAAAGTTTATATATAGGCTTGTTTGTTTGCACTAGTTTTGGTTTACATAACTACGTCATGTCTCTGATGCTTCTCTGTTTCAGGTACTTCTTCTGATAAAGAAAAAAAAAGTTTATTGGATAATCCTCCCATTCCCATTCGAATTTGCATTTCTTACTTTCATAAAAAAGCATTTAAGTTTTAAAAGGATACTGAAAAATGTTTTTTCATTTAAAAGATGCGAATACATTTTTCATAACATTTGCATAAATTGCGTTTGAAACAACCAATGGAATCACGCACACCATTTAGCAGTGCTTTGCCAACATAAAGCTCTCAGGATCAAGCTCTTTCTTTGACCATGATACTAATTTTACTTGCTTCACTTTGGTCACTCAAAAACGTAAGACTGTATTATACAACGTTACAATGATAGATGATAAATCTTTGAAACAATATGAGAAAAAAGAAATCACACTTTGACTTTCTATTTTGAGATTTACAATCACACACAAATAAACACTAAAGTAGCTTATTCATGAACTATTACAACACTTTGAAATGCACTCTTGATGACTCTGAACCCATCTTGTATCAAATGGATCTTTGACTCTTTGTTAGGAAAGTTGAAAATAAAACAAAAGAAGAGAGTTGGGATTTATCCTTTTTTTTTAAAAAATCCTAATATATATATATATATAACGTTTATTTAGTGCTTGATGACATCAAGAGAATGTGTGATAGCAGAAGATGATCGGAGACGAGACAGTCTACTTCTCCGGGAAGAGAAGCAAAGACAAGGAGAGAAAACAACTCTCAGAACTCTTCTAAGTACTTCTCCTCTTCTTGGGACTAGACTAGCTTCTCTTTCACCCATTTTTTTCTCTTTCTTGCTCGGTTTAGTCTGGTTTTGGTTTGTCTTAGTTACGTTAGTATTGGAGCTGATGATCTGTCTGACTACAAGCTGGAACTGCCGACTTGTGTCTATATAGGTGAAGCGTTGGAGAGACACATTACAAGACCGCGTGGAAATTCTCAAGACGCGTTGCGTTGTTGGCTCGTTCTTCAATTGATACAAATTCATATATCATTTTTTGGATATATATTTGTTTCATAAGGGAATAATATAGGTTTAATTTTTTTGAAAGTGTTAGTACTGTTTAGAGTTTGAAGTGGTCCTAAAGACTTTTCTTTCTTTGGTACCAAGTTAACACGTTTTCTGCTTAAGGAACGACCGGGTTATAGTTTTGTTACTATTGGTTTTATTTTACCTTATCCCTATCCTAATTAAGCCATAGATTTCAATTTTTTAAAAAAAACAAAACATGTAGGTTCCCAACGCATGATTCTTACACTATTTTTCTTCATCTGCATCCTTAAGAATTTTGCTAGAACAAAGAAAGATATAGAGATAGAGGTTGCTAGAAAGAAGAGACAATGTCTGATTACGTGATGATATTCTAAAGAAGGCAGTGTATATTTTACAGATTGTAAAAGACAATCAATACTGCTTCATTCGAGTTTCACTGATATATTAATAATAAATGTCAGAACTCTTATCAACTCGTTGTTGCCTGTCTTTGATATCTTAAAGTCTCTGGTTTTATGTTGTTGAGATGTAACGAATTCTCATGCTTTCCTACGCTTGTTCACGGACAGCGTCAAGGCTGAAGACGGTAACGTGTACTACTACGGTTTTCCATTTTCTCCCTTTTTTGAAAAAACCCAAAATCAAAGAAAATCCAGAGACAGATATCAGCTACAAGAGGCGGTGGTGTTCACTCGCCCTTGGGGAGAGTGGGGCAATCTTCAAAGTAGGTTTTGAACAAGAAATATAAATTTTTTGAGAAAAATTGTTTCATATAAATGATTGTAGCATCAAAATGTACAAGTTAGAGAGTTTGTATAAGAGTTTTGGACATTTTAAAATTTCTAATTATGTTGCTCTAGGAACAATGTTGCTACTCACTTTAACATATCAACAAAGTGAAGCTTGAGGTTCAAGATTGTAAAGGACACACCAACTATGGAACAGAATGAGTCAAGACTCTTTTAACATACCTGGACACGTGACCATCTCCCCCTATTGAAGATTTCCAAGGATGTATGTATGTAAACATCACCAATCACTATATATGGCACACTTTGTTCCATCCCCACTAGCCAAAACCTGGGGAGAGGTTAACCGGAACTGGGAAAGATAAAGCTCCGACCACCTCACGGACATTCTGAACAAAAAGTCAACGCCATAACACTTTCACTGTTTCAGTTTCTGAAAGACAAGGCAAAGGCATACCCACCCAGGAGATTTGATTTGCTCCCAAAGATTGAGAAGATCTGTAAGATCTTTGTTACTGATTTTACCTGTATCATTCCTTTGAGTGGAAACATCTTTTATGGCAGTGAAAACTTCAGGTGTGAATACATAAACACCGCAGTTAATAAGGTCACTGACCTGTTTGTTCCAAGATTTTAAAAAAAAAAACATAAGAATCAAAACTTGAAGACGTTAAAGACTGATGTCATCTCAGTGATATATGTACATACAAAAGTTTCTGGTTTCTCTGTGTAATGAAGCAACTCATTAGTAACTGGATCTGCAACTAGTTCTCCAAATTGGCTTTTGCTGATTCAGGAGAGACCTAAACACACAGAAGCAACCAACTTTGATAAAAATCAACCAAAAAAAAACAAGAGTAGTCTCATATACTCAAATCATAAACCTTGATCACAAGAAGAGTTCCAATTCCACCATATTTCCTATGAGCCTCTGTTGAATCAAAGTATAACTATCAAAGACTAAACAACATCTTTGAATCCGCTACAAGAAAAAAAGAGATATCAGGTAAGGGGAAATGATATCTTTAATGGGCTTTAAGTTTCGGCCCAATTATAAACGATTATTTAGCATATAAATAGAACCTTTTCAATTTTGAAACCCTATTCTTTGAGATTTCTTTTGGCTCAAGCGACAATGGATCTCCCGCGAGCTTTGGAGGACTACATCAAAGAGACGATCGATCACTCCTTGGGGATTCCGATCTCCATGGACGCTCTCCAGAACAAAACTCTACGCAGCTCAAGAGTCTCAGCTTCGTCTGCGAGAACACTACATGTCTCTGGTTTCAAGATTGAAGGAGAAAGATCAAGTCATCGACCTCGTTAGATCTGAAGCGCGTATCAACGCGCAGGCTCTGAAGAAGTTCGTGGAAGAGAATCAGACACTGAGAGGTGAGTATAATGATTTGGTGAATCAGTGCAAAGATTTGAGAAGAAAATGCTTGATTTATCATCTAGATCTTGAAGCATCGATGCGTTCTAGGAACGAAGCAGAAGAAAGGGCAAGAGACGCAGAATCTACGATTCAAGAATTAGATCAAGAACTGAGACACGTGTCTAATGTAATTAACAAGCAGGAATGTTTGGTTGATTCGGTTTTGGCGACGATCGTTAGTGGAGACGAGACTAAGTTTGGGCGTATGCTCTTGGAGGAAAACATTCAAGATCAGTCATGTCTACCTTTGTTGAGAAAATGGAACCAGTTGAAACCATCAATGCATAAGGCTATATCTTTGGTTTTCATGTTGATAAATATTGAAAAGGAAAAGGAGTGTCTCATCGTGAAGCTGGAGAGAGCAGAGCAAGAACTGGAACTTGCGAGGGAGCAAAACAGAGAGGTACATAAAGAGAGCCGCAACTTGTTAAGGCAATAATGTAGGAGTCATTGTTGTTCTGCAGAGAGATGCAGCAAGTACAAGAAGAGAAAAGAGAAAGAGGCTTAGGAATGATGAGCAGATGGATAATATCAGGTAGTGCTGAAACCATTTTGCAATTTATTTGAATCTGATTGAATGGAATGTTGTGAGGGACAAGTTCTGACTATGATCAGTGCAAGTGTATAGCATATGGGATAGTAACAGATGCAACTTGTTAGCTTTTAATACGGTCTGTTTCACTCTGGAAAGACAGAACATACAAATCATGTGTACACAACTAGTTAGGCCTGGGCAAAAAAACCGGAACCGAAAAACCGAACCGGAACCAAACCGAAATACCCGAAACCGAAACCGGACCGAAATGCTTAAATATCCGAATGGTTCCTATATTTCTATACCCGAAAAACCGAACCGAGAACCGAACGGGTACCCAAATATCCGAAAAAACAAGTTAAATTTTTTAAAAATAAGATAAAATGACATCAAGCCCACTTGAACACATGTTAGATACAAAGAGTAATTACATTTTTACCATCAGATTATGTTATGTTTTATTTATTCTGTTATATTATAAATATATATGGTATTTCTATATTAAAATATGATAAATATTTATAAAAATTACCACTTTCTAGATTTGAACTCTTGTTGGATTGACTAATATGTAAGCGTGTAAACACTTGACCATCTAAATTAACATATTAACTAATATATTATGTTTATATATATTTGATTTATATATTAAATGGGTACCCGAAACCGAACCGAAACCGAACTGGAACCGAACCGAAACCGAACCGAAATCTCATAAGTATCCATTGGGTATAAGAATGATTTATCCGATATACCCGGAACCGAATGGTTCCTATCCGGAACCGAACCGAATATCCGAATGCCCAGGCCTACAACTAGTCAACTAGGATTTGAAATGATTTTTTTATAAATAGTAAACATGTTATATCCGAGACCCATATGTAACAAAAGATTATAGTAAGATTAATATTCATTCGGTAAATTTATAGTCTCCTCTTCCATCGTAATCTTCTTTAATCAAATGATGATCTCATTGCCTTAAAAAAAAAATGGTACTGAAAAAGATGTCAAAGAAAGACTTTTAATGTGTGTGGGCTTTGGTTTTTGTCTTCTTCTCAAATGGCTTTCCTTATCCTTTCTGTTCTTTCACAGATCAAACATAAAAATAGTCTGAAAGAAGCCTTTTAGGATAGTATTTATTTTTGAAGAAGATAAAATGTATTTTTTTAAGTTTAGAAAATGTTTCAATTTTAGGGTTCCCTTCTGTTCCACTCAAAAATAAAAACCCTTTCCCTTTCTACAGATCTCTTTTTTTTTCTCCCTTCTTCTTACCATATCTCTCTCTCTCTCCTCTCTCTTCAATCTCTTTCCCCAATCTCTCTCTCCTCTCTCTCCAGAAGGAAAAAAAATTCCCTTAAAGAAACCCCGCTTATTTGTTTAACCAAATCTCATATGTAAGTTTTCTCTCTCCTAATCCATTTCCATCTTTCATGTCTCTCTCTCTCTTTTGAATTTACAATGGGACCTTTCTCTGTACTGTTGCCCTCTCTTATTTCTTTATATATTTAGTCTCATTAGATTTCATTTTACCATGTAAATACTCGATTCAGATTCATGTCTAGTTTCCTTAGATCTAGCTCTTGATTCTTCAGATATAGATTCTCTATATTGTATTTGCATGTTGGTTTCGATAAGAAATGTTGGTTTGAAAAAGAGCTGATATGTTGTTATCAATGAAACTATAAATCGATATAAGAAATGTTAGTTTTTGCTGTGCTGCATTCCGACAGGAACATGTAAAAGAAATTGAGCTTCTGTTCTGTCTGAATTTAGATCTGAAAACTTTTAAAATAATTTTCAATCGACATTTTGTAGATCTTTTTGCGATGGATGATGATGGGTTTCGCAATTGGGGTTACTACGAACCAGCGGCTGCTACATCATTCAAAGGTAATCTCGGTTTACAGCTAATGCCAACCATTGATCGGAACACTAAACCGTTTCTACTCGGGCGAGACCCTAATCTAATGATTGGCCAAACCGGTTCATACCACCAACACCACCACCACCTTGAGCCTCACATGAGCTACAATCTGATTAACCAACACAAAGACAAGTTCTTCAACATGTTACCTGTCACAACCACTCCTAATTACGGAAATGTCCTTCCACAAACTTCCTCATCCCCATCCATGCATATGAATCTCCACCATCACGAGGAACAACACCCGATTAAATGCGAACCGGACATTGTTGAGACTAAGAAGAGAAAGCCTAATTCAAAAGCTAGCACAAAGGCGAAGAAGCCTCGTAAACCAAAAGAGGAGAACAACAACAACAACACCAACATGTCTAAAGTCAAACCGGCTAAGAAAAGCTTTGACTTGGTTATTAACGGAGTGAATATGGACATTTCCGGTTTACCCGTCCCGGTTTGCACTTGCACTGGAGCTCCTCAGCAATGCTACCGTTGGGGTTGTGGTGGTTGGCAATCTGCGTGTTGCACCACGAACATATCTATGCATCCGTTGCCGATGAGTACTAAGCGACGTGGAGCGAGGATCTCGGGGAGGAAGATGAGTCAAAGCGCGTTTAAGAAGGTTCTTGAGAAACTTGCTTCTGATGGGTTTAACTTTGGGAACCCGATTGATCTTAAGAGTCATTGGGCAAGACATGGGACTAACAAGTTTGTTACCATCAGATGATTAGTTGTCTTTACGTTGCTTTGTGTTTTTGTTGGAGTCTGTTTGTTTGTTTGTCAGAGAAGGAAGAAGATGACTTAGAAAATCTGCAGGGAAGTTTGAATTCTTCTTTTTTTTTGTATTTTTTTTCCTTCTTTCTGTTATCTTTATAAACATTTTACTGACTTGTAATAGTAAGTTGTAACAGATAATTCTTTTTAATTAAATGTTTTATTTCTTAGATTATTTAAATCGTGCAGACAATTTGTACTAGTTGTTGAATTTTGTTCTCTAACTGATGTTTTCATTGATTACGAAATCTAATTGTTAATTTGTGATCGTCTAAATCATTTGACATGAATCTGTAATTCTATAAATGAAATAAAATAATATGTTTAAAGCCTTACAGGATACAATCACGAAACTAATTTGAATTTGGATCGTATGAACAATAATAACAATCCACTTTAAATTTAATAATACAGAGAATAAACATAATTGGAGACAAGCAAAGTAGAAAGAAAGTAATACGTGTGGTTAGAAATTGGGGTGGTAGTTTAAAGATTATGACTTTTTCATACATTTGATTAGACTATCTCTAGTTTGTGTGATTGATATTAGTTTGCTAAACTACACAAATGTTAAAGTAGGCAATAAACATGCAGCCAAGATATTCATCTTGTGGGTCACGTTTAAATCTTTTTTTTGTTCTTATAGATGATATCTGAATGGTAAAGATCATCTCATGTTTACATTTTAACTGTTAGTAGTGTGACTTGTATCATTTAGTTGAATTTTTGCTTCTTTTTCTTTCTCATGTAATTAGAAGCACATGTGACTAGTGTCTATTGTCTATAATCTTATTTTTAATGAAAGTCACATACTCTTGGTTATTATATTATTTGTAGAAAATATGTGACTAGTGTCTCTAATTTTATTGGAAATCACAAATACTCTGGTTATCATATCATGTTTAGAAAAAACGTGACCACTCAATCTCTCATTCCAATCCAAAGTCATGATATATATATATATATTCATTAGTATAAATGAAAATCTTATTCTTTCTTGGTTTACTTTTTAAAATATTGTTCCTTATTCTAAACCAATTAATAATTATTATTACTATAAAACAACTCACTTATAGATTTGTTTATATGTATGTATTTATTACTGGTTTCTCTAATCTCTTACTTGTTATAACTTATAAGCTATCAAAATTATTTCACAACACTACTTAAAACTCGGCTACCATCGGTTTCTAAACAATAATTGTGTGTAGATGACAACTTTATTCAAGATATGAAATCAGTCTTGAAAATTACTGGTTATAATAAAGCAAAAGCCAGTAGTGAAACAGTTCAAAAAGTAGAGGTTTCACATTTATTATGACACCTAATAGACAAGTAAGTACAAAATCTTAAGGCAGTAATTGGAACAATAGTTTTGCCTTTCTGTAACTCCCAACTCTACTTTCTGACACAAACATCATCTCATATCTTAAACCCAAACCAAAGCCTAAAACCAAGTTTATTTACTCAAACTCTCAAAAACCAAACTATTAGAGAGAACAAAAAAAAAAAAAAATCAAGAGATGCAGAGTTCTTGTCTCTACAGAGAATGCATGCGCAACCACGCGGCCAAGCTCGGCTCTTACGCCGTCGATGGCTGCCGCGAGTACTCTCAACCAGCCACCGGAGATCTCTGCGCCGCCTGTGGTTGCCACCGGAGCTACCACCGTCGCATTGAAGTACAATCGTCTTGTCAAGTCACTCGCGCGCGGCTCCCTTTCACGAGCTTGAGGCGCGTGAAGCAGCTCGCGAGGCTGAAATGGAAAGCAGCAGCTGCGGAGGGAAGAGAAGAGCAAGAAGAGGAGGAGGTGGACACGGAGGAGACTTCCACGGACGAGAAGATGACGGTGCAGCGTCGGAGGAAGTCGAAATTCACGGCGGAGCAAAGAGAGGCGATGAGAGATTACGCGGCGAAGCTGGGATGGACGTTGAAGGATAAGAGAGCGGTTAGTGAAGAGATAAGTGTTTTCTGCGATAGGATTGGTGTTACTCGTTATCTTTTCAAGACTTGGGTTAACAATAACAAAAAGTTTTATCACTAATTTAATTAAATCATTAGTTTAATGTTATTAGCATAATTCTAGTTCATTTCATTTTCAACCCTGATGTTATTGTTCTTATCATCATCCTTAATGGCTTATGTTAATGGAATAGCTTGTTACTACAGTTTTACTAGTGTGTTAATTCTGTGTTTTTTTATATTTAATGATGTCCTTAATTACTACTGGCTTCATTCGTTAATTGTCTTTATTATACGTCGGTGGGTTTTGAGTTTTGACAAGACAACTAGCTGACGCTTAATTTATGGCCACTATTGCTAACCAATCAGAAAATTATGCGAAAATAATTTTGAAGTAGTTGAAGTGAACTGTGGACTATTGACTAATAACGTTAACAGCGAGTCAGCGACGGACAGTGAGAAACAATAAATACATGTATTTGCTTTTTTTGAACAAAAATACATACGTGTTTGATGGGTTCACAACGAACTATACTGCATAACTAATTTATAATCTTTGTAATCAAATAATGAAAAGACAATTGGTTACGGAATAACTCAACATTGTATTTTTCTCATTATTTTGAGATTTCTTACTAAAGTTTATGATGACGTCATCAAAATCAATAATATTTTTATAGTTGTTTCAAAACAATAATCAAAATTATATAATAATATTAGTTCTTGCATTCGTAAAACCATAGAGTTGTTAACCAGAAAACAAATCATATAGTTAATTTACATATCAATAATATTGAGAAAATAAATATTTGTTATATTTACAATCCATGAAAACTCTATAATGGGGGTAAGAAATAATAAAAAAACTAGATATTCGTTGACTAAAAATAAACTAATCTTACACAACATGAACGTCTCAACTCGTATATGGGCCAAGAAGGATTATACTCTTATTGGGCATTTCAAACCAATAAGATCTTTTTGAGAAAGCTCATTAAGTGATTTTTAACAAAGAGTAGAAACCATAGCTGCATGCATCTGGTGAGCAAACAAAGATACACGCACATTCACACAAATTCACCAACACACACAAGAGAAAAAGACATTATAGAAATACAATCGTGAAGCTACTAAAAGAACATAACATCCATCAGTTTCTACTCTTCTATATTAATATCCTAAAGTCAGTCACAAAAACAGTCAACTCAAAGTGTCACACACACACACACACATCATTAATTTGTCAACAAATAACTCCTTTGGATCACATTCATCTCTAAACTCCCAAATCCTACTCCGTTAACCAGTGCAACAACAGAGACTCAGTTATGTAACGGTGAATCTGGTTCAGAGTAAGTGTATGTAGAAGCAGAATCTTCCTTTGGTATAGCCACAAAGTTCAAAGGAGCTGTTGAGAGTTTCCTCACTTCCTTGAAGTATCCGTTTTGGCCATGATGATGACCTGAGTAAGATCTTGGGGTCATCATAATGTCGCTATTTGCTGCTCCTGCTGAGTTTCTGCGAGGTGTAGGAGGCATAGATACATTCCCATTGTAACCATTAGCCTTTCTTATGCTGGTGCTTCTTCTTGGACTTGGTTTTGATCCATATATGGATTCCCTCCTGTTTGATAACAGATCCTGCATCTTCTTCTGATCCTGCAGAGAGACATGACAAACTCATTACAACATGCAAGCCATATTACAAATCCTTTAAAGAGAGAGAATTTTGACAAACCCGGTATCGTTTCTTTTCTTCTTCCTGTTGTTTCCTTGTCAGTTTATAATCTTCAAGTATGGATACAAGTCGAACCTGGAGGAAACAAGTAACCATAGTTCAAGGAGTGAGCTTTCAAAACCTGAGAATGTGACTACTTTAATGTTAGTTTTAAACTTACACCATCATATAGAAATGACTTCTGTGTTTGATCCTCCCATAAAAGCGTTTTCTTGATGAGATTGTCAACCATTGCTTCAGAAAAACAATAAACATTAAGCTAAAGATCTCATGTGAATGTAGTGGACAAGAGACAAGAATACATACATGGAATCTTGTTTACTGTAATCCGAGCTCGTTCTGCGTGCTTTAGGTTCACATGTCCTCCTCTTCCAGCGCTGTAGCGGTTCTCATCCTGCAACCACACAACGCATTACTCAGTCACATTACAACCTTCAACACAAAAGGACATTTTACAAACGTTTCAAGAAACTTCTCTTACCTGGTTGTATTCTTCAAGCCAGTTTTCCTCTTCACAAGCAGATAACCAACGGTCAATCCTATCAATAATCTCTTTCCTGCTCTGTGCCTCGTCTTTGGTTTTGTTTATCTGCGCTTCTATATTAGCAAGAAGCTCCGCAGGGTCCACTAACCCTGGAAGAAACGTGAGGATCAGCAACAGAACTCATATTTGTGAGGATAAACATAAACTCTTGTTAACTTTTTACCAGAGTCAATCAAAGCAGTTGATTTCTCGAGAGATGTGCTTGTGTCAGGTTCAATGTGAGCCAATCTGCAAAGATTCTCTAACTCAGACCTTCTTTTCACCACAAGCTCCTTCATTCTACTAGATTTCAGCTTGTTGAAACGATCTACTTCTGCAGACACCTAATAACATAGAAGAGAAAAACACAAACAAGTTGAGACTAATGACACTTAAAATTTGGTAAAAGAAAAGAGTATTTGTTGTGTTACCTGTTCAATTGTTTCAGTAGAAAGGATGTTTGGCTCGGTGACATCAGATTCAGGTGATCTCACAACACAACTGACTTTTGCAAATTTCATTCTCTCTTCTTGAGGTGTGTCCATTAGATTCCATAGCTCGGAAAGTGACCCAATTACATCCTTCAACTGCAAACCAAAAGGTAAAAATCCTTAACCATTAGAAATTACATAGAGAAAGAATACCATTGCAGACATGTTTTATCGATCTACCTTTTGAAAACGGAGACTCCTCTCAGATTTCAGCTTTTCAATCATGTTTCTTAGACCATCCAACGTCTCATCGCTAATGTTTGTAGACTGCTCGTGGTTAGTCCTATGTAAGCTCGGGTGAACCTCACTAACAGTCTGACAAAAGTCAACTCCAAGAACACCGCATAGAGCGTGAACCTCATTCACATAATCCAACACCTTGTTTAGACGATCCGCCTGCATTAAAAAAAAAAAAAAGAACAAATGAGTATTCATCTTCTTATGCATTCATGAGAAACAATCTTCCTCACCTTCTCCTTCTGGAGAGAGCGGAGATGTGTTTGATACTCATTAAGTCTCCGAAGAGTCAAGTCTTGATCATCTTCAAGAGTCAAAGAACCAAGCATGGCACTGTAACCAGAGAGTTCACCGCTCATCTTCTCAATCTGCGCCTTTACATCCACCAACTGCTTCACTCTTTCATCTTTTTGCAACCTCAAATCCTCAAGCAGAGGCCTCACATAAGCAATCTTCTCTTTCAATGATTTTGAACCTTTCTCTTTCATCTGCAAACCAAAATAAAAAAATCGAAACTCTCCCTTTGCTTCCAAGATAGTAGGTGAGAAACTAGCACATACCGGTGAGTGGATGTTTAAGACACCAAGAGCAGCCATTATAGAAGCAATCTCAGCTTCAATTGTTACAAGTGATTGATGAAGCTGTGCCTTGGAATTTGCAGCTTCATCAACTTTTCTTCTGTAGATTTCTAAACACTCCTTCTCCAGTTCCATTAGCATCCTGTCTTTCTCAGCATCACTCTCACCAATATCAACCCATATCTTCTGCTCCATACCCCAGAAAAAAAACAAATTTGCCATTAAACCCATCAAAAACAGAGTTATTACAGAGACATGTAGAAGAAAAGGTGAAGACTTTATCTTATAATTTGAATACTACACAAAACCCTAAATTCTAAAACGAGTGACAGAGTTCACAGTAACCCTAAACCTAAAAAGGATAAGACTTTACTCTACAGTGACCGTTTTCTCCTTACATAGAAAAACAGAGTTGTTCTGTTTCAAGAAAACCCTAAATTTTCAAGAAACAGAGAAGAAGAAGAGAGCTTGAAGAAGAAACCTGAAGGTCTCGAAGCAGAGCATTACAAGTAGTGTTTGAACGGAAACAGAGACTCGTAGGACTTCCAATCTCAAGCATTTCACCGAGTTTTGCTTCTCTTTCTCAATTACTTTCTCAAAAGTTAGAATCTTGAACCAGAACAGAGCAGAGCTTGTGACAATGGCTGCTTAAAAAAATCAAAGAAACCACTAGTCAGCAGAGTTAACAAGTATCAGATCTGAGAAGCTTAACATAGAAAAGTTTCTCACTACTTTTGCAGAGAGGAGAAAGATGGATCACTGGAGCATAGAATTCCGAGCAAAAGTTGCAAGAAAAGAGAAGTGATTATATGTTGAAGAATGTATAAAGAAGAAAGCTAGAATTAAATTAAAACTGAGCTTCTTTTTGTCATATTACATTAATGTTATTTTTTTGGCCGTTACTTACAAATGTTATTTAATATTCTGTTATGTTACATGTAAAAATACGATTAAATAACCGATGGGTATTGTGCAGGCGCTACGGTGAGCGCGTGGCTTTTTAAAGGTGAGCCAATTAGGAACAAAGGAATGAGATTTGGCTTCTTTAATGAGATGTATAAAGTATAAATATATATAGAATAACCTAGTGTATAGTATCATCATAGTATAAGCATACGTGGTTTGATATGCAATAATGCATCATATGATTAAAGTGATCTAAATGATAAACTAGTTGATTTTCTAAGCAAAATGGTAATGAATAGACTAATACCGACATTGCAATGAGACTTTTATGATGAGAAGATAAAGTTAAAGCACTTGCAAACATAAATTCTTTTTTTTTTTGGTGTATGGAGCTTTGCATTAATGCAAGGTGGTAATGTTTTGACAAGAAAATATGCCAAAGTAGCCTAATCAAAATGGAGGATGTGGTGGTGGCCAACGTCACACCACTCCACTAGTTTCATTAAGAAGTTGAAAATCTTATTCTCTTTATTAAATCAAGCACTGATTTAGAATCCTATCCAAGCCTTTCATTATTGCGCTCCACAACTACTAATCAAATATGCAATTATTATGCATTATTTATATTATGATGTTTATGTTTGTGTCTTAAACATACTGATTTCTCACAGGTCAGTAGTATACAGAGGACAAACAGCCATACTTTAAGATATATATAACTAACCACAGAAAGGAAAGTCCTTGAATTATTAGAGAACTATTAATTTATTACCCGACCATTTAAGTTCTAACTACTTCAAATATGAACTAATAATTTGCATGCAAACTATCCATTAATCTTGACTTGAATCATCATTTTTTTTTTTCATATGGCTCATTTTTGTGCGATTCAAAAAGTAATATTTGGCTCATTAACATTAATTCGACTTTGCATATGTCTTGATGATTTGCATTTTATATATGATTATTAAAAAAAATCAGTAATAAACACACACACAGAAGTGATACATTTCATTTGAAAACTTATATGGAATCTTATACTAAAGAAGAATCAGAGAAATGAAAGAGTTGGTTCTATAATTTGTTTTTGAAGGGTAGTTAAACTAAAATGGGCGTGTGGTCGACCCCACATGTCCGTATACTATTGCTTATAAATCCAGCTAATACAAGAAGTTAAAGATGAAGATGAGGAATTGAAAAAGAATGATTAGTAGAAAGAGAGAAAAGATAAAATGCGATCATCACAAAAGGGACAAGGGATGTGAGTAATATAAGAGAAATATATGAATATATATGCATAATGTCTCAAAGGCTCCTCCTCCATTCCCTATTCTACTTTTGTCTTTGTTTTTACATGTCATACATTTGTGATTTGTAAGAAGATTTGTGTAATGCTCAATAAAAACAATTACAGATATTTAACAAGACCACAAACGATTATATTCCTATATCAAAACTTCTATCAAGAAAAAAAAAAACAAATTCATGATGTACTTTACATGGTCCAAATTATAGATATATTGATTGATCTCTACTCGGCAAATCACTACGAGAAGAATCCCCTTGATATCAATGAGTAGCTGACAACATGATTCAGTTTCATTTGGAAGCATTGGATTTTACTTACATTCATCATGTACACACGACAAGACTAATCTACACACGTGTAACCTGAAAAGGAGGTTACGTTTGTTTAACGTAAAGACACAAACAGCACATGGATGTAATACATATATTGCATCGAGGAGGAGGAGGAAGAGGTTGTTGAATAAAATGATTTAGGCAATTATACATCAGCAAACCCAGTACTGTTTCAATAATTTTTGGTTAGGTGTGTGTGTATAAGATATGTGTGAATACAGCTAGAGAATTCCACACGAAGCTAATTGGTCAAAACTTTTGACTCAAAAGAAGATGCTGACAATTTGACCTAACTTCAGAAACAGACAAAGACATGATCATGTCTCTATCCATACCGTCCATTTTGAAGACTTGCTTAACCGGACTGATGTTACGGCACTGTCTAGGACCACCATGGATTCTGTGGAGATTCAAGAGTCACATAAGTCAACCTTGCTGACTGCATCAAAGTTGTCTGTTTGTTTCTTTCAGACTCCTTTATGCATCTTTTTTTAGTAGTCTGAAGGCCACTTACCAAACTACTATAGGAACTGGACTATGCCAACAACAAGCCCAAACATATGATTACTTTAGATGAGAAGGATAGACATAATATGTGGTTATAGGAATGGCCATGAATACAACTTTATGTTGTAGATGAGTATTGACAAGTATAGTCCACAAGACCAGGATCTCTTACATTTGATTGTGATTTTGATAACTAAATGTTTTTTTTAAGACAAGAAAACGTCAAAACGTGTAACTTTGTTCATTTTCCTTGTTCGTCTCTCCTAATAAACTAGCTCTGAAGTTGCAAAAAATAGATAACGTTCAATAAGAACTCGCTGCTCTTTTTAAAGTTTTTAAAGAACTGCTCTCTATAACTTTCTCTTCTTCAGCTAGTTGATCTGTTTACCGTCATCACCTTCCTTGGCAGCTGCAACTGATCTGTTACAAGCTTCTTCTTTAGTCTTCATTTCAACCTTTCCTTCTACAGAGTTGCTTCCATTTCTGTTGTTGTATTTCTCTGTGGAGACTAGTACAACCTGTTCTTGTGCTGAGCCTGGTGGGAGGAATACACCAGTGCCAGGGATGGGGACTCTTGACTGTGGTGGCAGTGGCCAGCTCTTTGCCACGCCACCTGGGAACGGCATTGGAGAGGCAAGGGGAGGAGAATGTGCTTTGAATATCGGCTGACCAGCTCCGTTGTTTGGTGGGGAGGTTAGGTGACGGTTGTGGTGATTAGGTGGCGATCTGCTAGGCGGTGGACTCCAGTTAGAACCGCTTGGCTGAGATTTGGTGAAAGTGATGAGAATCCTTTGCTTTCTGACTGAGTGAATGGCAAACTTGGCAAGATCTGCAGATTTGCCTTCCACCAGAAGAAGAGATCTGTTCAAAGCACATCATAAACTTATTGAGAGATCAAAACTTTGCAAACTTGAGAGTGAAAGTTGAACCAGTTACCCTGGAGTGAGAGATAGCTTGAGAGATCCCTTGTAGTCTCCTGGATGATCAGTGATAGACTTTAGTTATCTCTCTCTTGTTAACAATGAATAACAGAACGTATAGCTTTGTATAAGATCTCGAGTTACACTCTCATGGCGAGTACACTCTCAATCACCGATCTCATCACGATCGGGAAGTACAGACTCATAACGTCTATAACAAACTACACAAAGGCATAAGACTCTCTAAAGAATTACAGACTCTATTTATACTCCTTCTGCTCAATCAATACTCCCTAACGAACAAATAACGGCAAACCCTCTTACTCAAAACCAGTCTTTGCTCTCTTTCTTAAACTCCCACTCCCGTGTTATTCAAGCTTCCTCTCTCGTTGCCACTACACCCTTCTTCTTCCTATAATAAACTCTCTTGAGCCTATCAATACTCCCCCCAACGAAATCCAGCTTGCCCTCAAGCTGGTACGAAGGAAAATACTTGCGAAACTCCTCCAACTGCATCCATGAATCCTCCAAAGCAGTCTTCCCACGCCAGTGAACGAGTAATTCCAACTGTCCTTTCGTATCATACCGTTTCGCCAATATATCCTCTGGTTCCCACTGATCATCCACCGTCACAATAGCTCCTGGTGGCAAAACACTGCTCTGCTCTTGTTGCCCCAAAGCAAGTTTCAACTGCGAGACATGGAATACAGGATGGACGCGAGCTTGTGCCGGCAAACGAAGTTTATAGGCCGTTGCCCCCACCTTCGCAAGAATCTCATAAGGACCATAATACTTAGCAGAGAGCTTCTGGTAAGTCCGCTTCACCACAGAATGTTGACGATAAGGTTGCAACTTCAAGTAAACCATGTCACCTATCGCGAAATGGACCTCTCTACGCGACTTAACTGCCTGTTGCTTCATAATATCCTGAGCACGTAATAAATTCGTCTTCAACGCCTCTAACACCTCATCCCGCGCACGTAAAGCAATATCCAACTCAAAGTTAGAAGTAGAGCCTGGTTCAAAACGTAACAGGGGAGGAGGATCACGACCATACAACACCTTAAATGGAGTAGTTTGCAAAGACTTGTGATACGATGTATTATACCACAACTCTGCCCATGCCAAGTACGAGTGCCAAGAACGAGGATGTGAAGAACTGAAACATCTCAGATACGTCTCCAAGCAACGGTTAAGCACCTCGGACTGACCATCCGTTTGAGGATGAAAAGCCGTGCTGTACTTCAACTTGGTACCCGCCAAACGAAACACTTCAGACCAAAATGAACTCAAGAATATTCGATCGCGGTCAGATACAATACTTCTTGGGAACCCATGCAACCGGACTATCTCATTTACAAACTGCTGCGCCACATCCAAAGCTGTAAAAGGATGTTTTAAACCCACAAAGTGCGCAAACTTACTCAACCGGTCAATAACCACCAATATCACGTTAAATCCATTCGACTTCGGAAGACCTTCAATGAAGTCCATATTAATATCATCCCACACCCTCTCCGGAACTGGTAATGGTTGGAGTAACCCCGCAGGCGATAATGTTGAATGCTTATGTGTCTGGCACACGTTGCAAGCCGCTACATACTCCTGGGTTCTTTTAAACATCCCTTTCCAAAAGAACGAACACTGAACCCGTTTTACTGTCTTTAAAACACCAGAATGACCACCCAACTTGCCATCATGAGCCTCCTGAAGGATGATAGGAATGAAAGAAGAAGATTTAGGAATAACCAAACGGTGTTTAGACCACAATTTTCCATCAACCACATGAAACTTCTTTGACTTGAATTCACCCGCCTGAAGCTTTAAAATTGTTCCTTGAATTTTCAAATCCTCACTGATCTCTTTATACAAGTCCTCCCACTGCAAAGCCGTTGGAACCGTCACCGATAGGAGCAAGGTAGAAACAGACATGGACCGAGAGAGACCATCTGCCACTCTGTTCTCAGGACCCGGTTTGTAGAAAATTTCGAAATCAAAACCCAATATCTTTGTTAACCATTTCTGGTATTCCAAATTTACCTCTTTCTGTTCCAACAGAAACTTCAGACTTCGTTGATCTGTGTGTACATGGAACTTACGTCCCAGTAAGTAATGCTTCCACTTCCTAATAGCCATGACAATAGCCATTAACTCTCTCTCATACGCAGGTTTCAATTGTTCTCTTGCAGTCAAAGCGTGACTAAAGAAAGCTATTGGCCGTTTATGTTGCATCAAAACAGCACCCAACCCAAACCCCGAAGCATCAGATTCAATCACAAAGATCTGAGTAAAGTCCGGTAATGCCAAGACAGGGGCGTGAGCCATAGCATGCTTCAGGTGATTGAACGCTTCTTGTGCCTCAGTGGACCACCCAAACTGATCTTTCTTCAATAATGTTGTCAAAGGACGTGCAATGATACCATAGTTTTTGACAAAGTTACGATAGTAACCAGTGAGCCCCAAAAAACCTCTCAGGTGTTTAACTGACTTAGGATCAGGCCATCGTTGCATAGCTGCTATCTTCTCTGAATCCGTGGCAACTCCATTAGCAGAAATCATGTGGCCCAAATATTCCACCGTCTCTACTCCGAAAGTGCACTTTTTCTGATTAGCAAATAAACTCTGTTCCCGCAGCACTTGTAAGACTTGTCGTAAGTGATCCTCATGAGATAGAGAATCCTTACTATATATCAGAATATCATCGAAGAACACCAAGACGAACCTTCGAAGAAAAGGCTTGAAAACTTTGTTCATCAAGGCCTGGAATGTTGCCGGAGCATTGGTGAGACCAAAAGGCATCACCAAGAACTCATAATGACCCTCTACTGTACGAAAAGCTGTTTTAGGAACATCCTCTTGCTTCATCCTAATCTGGTGATAACCTGAACGCAAGTCAAGCTTCGAAAACAAAACAGCTCCGTGTAATTCGTCCAGCAGTTGATCTATAACTGGTATCGGATACTTGTCCAAGACTGTTGCTCTGTTGAGAGCTCTATAATCCACACAAAATCGCAGAGAACCGTCTTTCTTTTTGACAAGTAACACCGGGCTTGAGAACGGGCTCGTACTCGGTTGTATGATACCAGACGAAAGCATATCATTCACCATCTGTTCCATGGCCACTTTACTGGCATGAGGATACCGATATGGACGAACAGAAACTGCATTAACTCCTGGTTTCAATGTAATTGAGTGTTCATTCCCCCTGAGTGGAGGTAATGAAGATGGTATCTCAAAGACGTCTTTAAAATCTTGGAGTAGCAGTGGGAACTTTGGTGAATCCTCGGGAGTCGACGATGTAGCATTAGAGGTAGCAAGCAGCACTTCACTTCCTGACTTACTAGCTCTAAAGACCGGCTTCAATGACTTGAATGAGAACTTGGTACAATGCAGGGCCTTCTCCCCATACAAAGTGACCTTGTTCCCATTATAGACAAACGAAAGGACCTGCTCCTTCCAGTCCACTTCGCACTTGCCTAATGTTTCAAGCCATTGAATGCCAAGTATCACATCGACGTTACCCAGTTCTAACGAGATGAAGTCACTGATGAAGTTGGTTTGATTTAACTGGAAAGTGACTGCTTGGCAAGTTCCCATAGCGTTTACAGTCACTCCATTTCCCAACAACACCGGCAAGCTGCTAGCAACAGAAACTTTCAATTGCAGCTTGTCCACAACCTCAGGAGATATGAAGTTATGGGATGCTCCACTGTCGAGCATGACTATCACCTCGTGTGCACATATGAATCCCCTCATTTTGGTGGTTTTTGGAGAATCTATGCCAAGATATGAATTTAGGGACAACGTATATAATGTCTGAGTACTCATATCCGGCAGTTGCGTATCGTCCTCGTCTCTAACATCAACAACTTCCAGCTCCAAACCGTTGATCACCGTTAGAATTCGTAACTCTTTTTGAGGACAAACCGCTCTATGTGCTGGAGACCATGGAGCTTTACACCTGAAACAGACTTTATCCTTCCTCATACGGTCCAGTTCTGCATCAGAATGTTGCAATCGTGGTCTCATAAGGGGTCTTTGAGGTATTGTGTTCTCTTTGTTCACCGTTGAATCCAATTTCAGTGGCTCCGTACGTTGCTTTGTGTACGTGGATGCACGAGATCCCGGCGTTTGTCGTTGATAGCCTCCCCGCCCTTCACTAGCGGCCGAGCTAATCACACTACAAAACGTCGTACTCTGCATACGTAACACCGCTAATTTGTGTTGAGTCAAGGTAGTTGGCTCCTTCATACGGATAACCTCTTTCATATCTGGTTTCAAACCATTGAAAAACACTTTGATGAGATGTCTCTCGTCAATGCCCGTAACTTGATTCCTCAAAGCTTCAAACTCACTAACATACTCCTCAATTTCTCCTTCTTGTTGTAAACGGAACAAACGTGCTGCCGGATCATTATCAATAGAACCCCCAAATCTGTCTAACATACGCTCTGTGAACTGCTCCCAATTCAAGAACGGATCATTGACACTCTCTCCATTAAACCACTGCAACACCGGACCCTCCAAGCACAGAGATATCAACTGAAGCTTCTCTTCCTCATTGTAGTCACCAAACCTGAAAAATCTCTCCACACGCGATATCCAATCGAAAGGCAATTTTCCAGAGAACACAGGCATTTCAACTTTTCTCAACATCTTATCCCGATTAGCTAACGATCCGTGGATTCCCCGATAACCTAATTGTGTTTGAGATCTTTCCGGTTCAGAATCAAGAAACTGTACCTGTTCACGACGAGGCTCCGACGAAGTCGCAGTCTCCTTCCCCGGCCGTTGATTGACAATCGCGGAATCTTCCAATCGAGAAAGTACCGCCGTCATATGATTCATCTGTTTCTCAAACGCTTCGAATCGAGAAATCGATTCCGTCGCCATGGACTCAATCTTCTTCTCCACTGAATCGAGTTTCTTCGTCGTCGCACGTTCGCTTTGAGCTAACTTCTCGTAGTTAAGCTTAGTCAGTTCGACCTCTTCTTGAATCTGGTGAAAATCCATGGATCTCGCGATCTCTGAACCTGTCACCTTCTCTCGATCACCTCCGTGACGCGTCTCCACCATCTCTAAGCTCCGCGTTGGTACCGATCAAGTTTCGCCGCACCAGTGATAGACTTTAGTTATCTCTCTCTTGTTAACAATGAATAACAGAACGTATAGCTTTGTATAAGATCTCGAGTTACACTCTCATGGCGAGTACACTCTCAATCACCGATCTCATCACGATCGGGAAGTACAGACTCATAACGTCTATAACAAACTACACAAAGGCATAAGACTCTCTAAAGAATTACAGACTCTATTTATACTCCTTCTGCTCAATCAATACTCCCTAACGAACAAATAACGGCAAACCCTCTTACTCAAAACCAGTCTTTGCTCTCTTTCTTAAACTCCCACTCCCGTGTTATTCAAGCTTCCTCTCTCGTTGCCACTACACCCTTCTTCTTCCTATAATAAACTCTCTTGAGCCTATCAATCAGAGACAATGACTCTTCCAAATGTGAAATCACATTCAGACAAGGACAAGATTCCAACCGGTCGTCCAAACCAGGGAACAAACATATTAGGCTGCGAGTGATCTCCCTATTTAGAGACAACATAAGAAAAGAAGACTCCTACTTAGTTAAGAAAACAACACAACTAGTTTTAATAATACGAATTTAGCTATCAGTTTTGAACCTCGTTGAAGAAATCAATGATGCATGCGTCTGGTTTCACAGGTATGATTTGCTTTGAGACAAAACGTTCAATGATGTCTGAAAGAAATGACGGTATTGGCTCTATTCTTCTATCTGCATTAAAAACACATCTCTCATGTTAACCAATACACAGAAGTTACAAGTAAAGAGCATTTATAACAGAACTTGCCTTTGATACTCTCATCATCAGGCATGGTATCAGCAATGGGGAGACCGAGTTGGATCATCTCGCGTCCATGTCCTCTATTTGGACGTTTATAATTCACATATGCCTCACCTGTTTTTGTCATGAACAGCGGTTTCAAGACCTGAGATTCAAACAAGTTAACATCATTAGAAAAAGACTCTTACTCTGGAGTTGACCTCTTCTTCCAGCGTTTCTCAGATTGTTTGCAAGTGAAACAAGTTGAGAAACTTCATTGACGTCAACTATTTTCTCATATAGTTTCAATCCTTCAACAACATTAACCTACACAGAAACAAAAACAAAAACAAAAAAAAAAAGATACAGAATTTAGTATTGTAGGTGTAAAGCATATACAAACAATGAAGAACATACTACAACTCACCAACTTTGCTTCATACATCTCTTCTACAACAAAAGTCTTTGCCATGCTTGCACAACACTCTTTATCTTTCTCTTCCTGCTTTTGCTCAGAACTGAGATTGTTATCTGAAAGAAAGAACCAACACATAATCAGAAGGTCCTAGTATCAGTTGAAAAATCTGAAGAGTCAGGGTTTGTCCAAAGTACCTTTAGAAACAGAGTTACAATCATGGTTCACTATTTCCTCTTGAGCAGACTCAGATTCTTCCACTATTAACATGTTACACAATATACATTGCACCAACTCAAACCAAACTTTACTTTTCTTACAAGCAAGCAAGCAAGCTAAAAAGCAACACAAAACACTATTATTACATTACCTATCTTCACATCAGCAACAGTCAATGCCTTATCATCATCACTTGCTACCTTAGCCTCACTGTTCTTTCTCACCATAGACTCAGCTCCTCCTCCTCCTCCTCTGTAACCACCATGATGACGATCCTTGTTAAATCCTGATCTCCTTCCTCCAAACCGATCAGAACCGTAATGCCTCTGCTGAGACCTTCCCTGTTGCCTTTTCCAAGCAGCTTGATGTAGAGACTGAGAGATATCTGCAATAGAGTAAAACTGCTGCATATAAAGAACTTGAGACCAGCTTGCTTGACGCTGTTGAATGGCTGAGACCACGCCCTCGTATTCGTTTTGATCCCCAATAGCTGCTAGATGTTGGCATAGCGAGTCGATGATGGCGTTGGCTGCAGCGAACTCCCCACGAATCCACGAGATGAACCCGTCACGCCCGTCTGGGATCCAGGATCCGACTGATGGAGTTAGAGTTCCCGGTGGCATTGCCATTTTGGTGGTGGCAACGATAAAGTTTGATTCTTTTTGATGTTGAAAGCTTTACTTCAAACAGATCTGTAGAAACAGAGGAAAGATTAATGTGGAAATATTGTAGAATTCAAGGAGATGGTATGGTAAATACTGTAAAGATGTCGACTTTAACGTGATTCGGACAAAACCCAGGAAGAAAGTCGATGAATTTCTGATTTTTAAAAAAAAAAAAAATTAGAAACGAATATTGAATTTTAAAGAAAATGTAAAGAGAGAATGACTATTACAATGTGAAGGTTTTTATGAGGCGAAACAGAACAGATCTGACACAAAACGAGTATTCACGTCGTGATGGTGAAGCTGAGTTAATAAAAGAGGTATAATCGAGTTAAAGTGATCATGTTGTATAAAGTTTTTAAGGGGAAGCTTCCTAAAAGGCAAGACAAGAAACAGATCTTATGGTTTTTTTTAGGACAAGAATTTAGCTTAGTTAATACGCTTGCGTTTTAACAGTCTCAGACGGTGGTGGCTTAGATCACTCATCACTTCACATCCCTCTCAGTGACTTTTCTTATGCAAAATTAATAATAAAAATAATTAATTCGTCGTCGATAATAATTACATTGACTTGAAAGAAACAAACATTAGTTTCACATTAGCGACCTAAGGGGGGTTCACACGTTTACCGAGGGAAACAGTGACGAACTCGGCGCGCGTGGGTTCGTCGTGGTGAACCCGGTTCGTCACGAGTTCGCCACGTGTCGGACCGTGATTCGCCAATTTTTTTTTTTTTTTTTTTTTT